TGCCCAGCTGCTGAGATGACTCGGCATCTGTTTGGTTAGTGTCCCTGTTTGTTTTTTTTATCAGTAATTTAACTAAGCAAGATGAATAACTGGACGTAGCCAGGAATGACTACACTGGTTACCCTGGAAGAATTTAGTCCTACCAGCAGAAAACTGTGACATCCTCCAAGACAGGTGAGGAGAGGAAAAGATTCGTGAGAAGGCAGCAGGGAAATTTTACACAAGCAACACTGTGAGCCGTGAGACTTTGGGCAGGGGTTGAGCGAGGGCCTCATTTTGTTTCCGGGATTGGGATTTCTAACAGACTGCTGTACTTTCAGATTTTTAAAGTATTAAGCTAATGAGTCTTAGGACTAGCCAAGCTGTGCCACATTCTCACCCTGTGTACCTAGGACCCTCAATGAAAACATGGCGGCAATGTTCCTATCCCACAAACCCACTGTACTTTAACCCTAACTGTCAGCCAAAGCCAATATTAACCCAATTCTCTGAAAATTCTTTTAAAAAAAAATGTGGTACACATATTTCCTGAGATGAGTGCTTCCAGGATTTAAACTTCCTTACTCGTCTCAAGAAAGTACACCTTTAAAAGCAACAGTTTACCTTCCTGATAAGATCCACCACAGGAAGACCCACAGAATCTTGGCCCATAGTGGGCTCACAGAAACTGAACCACCAACCAAAGAACATACAAGGGCTGGATCCAGGCCCCCTGCACATACGTAGCAGATATGCAGCTCGGTCTTCATGTGGTCCCTAACAATTAGAATGGGGGGTTACCCTGACCCTGTTGCCTGCCGTTGGATTCCCTTCTCCTAGCTGCACTGCCTTGTCTGGCCTCAGCTGGAGAGGATGTGCCTAGTCTTCCTGCAACTTGATGTCCCAAGGCAGGACGGTACCCAGGGAGGGTTTCTCCATCTCTGAGGAGAAGGGGAGGGGTAGTGGGAGGAGGGTTTTGTGAGCGTGGGGCTGGGAAGAGCAGAGAGAGAGAGCACGAGCTGCAATCAGTTTGTACAGTGAATAAATAAATAATGGAGGGGAAAATGGTCTAAAAGGTTAGTGATGCCAAACCAGTCCACTTTTTCAGAAGACCCCTCGTTAAGCACTCTTCGTCCACACTTGCAGATCTGAACAGATGTGATCCTAACCCAGTCATACAAATTGAATGATGTTTATTACAGTCTGCTTCTTCCTATAATAAGTCGGGTGGAGCCACAGACCTTAGCATCTACACGGTCCATGATGACAGCCATGGTGAGCAGGGAAAGACTCAACCTATTTTTCCTCTGACTTCACAATTCTCCAACAAATGCAAACAGCTGCTGCAGCCGGTCTTACACATGGGAATCGTGCACAGGGGGTGTCAATTACCCAGACTTACACCGAAAGAAAAACGTCATGGTTTTAGATGCTTAACCATTACATAAATTAATTAGCTTCCCACTCTTCTGACATGATTCAAATCAATGGGTTTCCAAAGCCCACCCAGGAGCCGACAGCCTGTCCTAAGCAGATCCCAGGCGTGTGATCAGTAGAGGACTTGACATCCTCCAGATGGTGGGGAGGGTGCTGTTCTTTGAGTGCAGGCTGAGACCTGTTGGTGCCAGTCAGTCCTCATCCAAGGGGAATAAGTCTCAGGCACTGTGCTTACAGAAGGACCCAAAACTAGGGATCCAACAACCCTACTTCGAAACGCCAAACATACGTAAAAGCTGAGGGAGTTGCAATAAACAGTTATCATCGGCCCAGATAACAACAGACCTGGAGCCCTTATTTTAAATAAACTGGTCCTAGAGGAGTTTGGCTAAGAAAGTGAAAGAGTGCTTCATTTTATAGCCCAGGTTCGACCATAGAACTCAAAGGCCTCAAACTTGTCATCTTCCTGACTCTACAGACAGATGCACCAAATTACACAGAGCATCCCCACAGCCGGCTTACAGATAATTTGAAGGAGAAACCAACAATTCCCCAACTCTGTACCAACTCAGAAAATACAGGCAGCCCCTCTCTCGCCTCCTGCCGCTGTGACTATGCTGTGACCAGATTCTTGTGGCCCAAGCTCATCACCTCACTTGCCACTGAGTCACATGGCTTAAGTATGAAGATTCAAATGAGGATTTTTGTTATAGATGTTTCCACTACCAAAGTGTGAAAACACGTTTGAAAATGTACCACTTACTGTCGCCAGGGGGTAAAAGCCTGAACAAGAGTCTCCAGCCTTGCTTGCACATTAAGTCTGACAGAAGTTTTTAGCATAACGTTATAAAAACTCTAGATGACTTGGTGTTTAAACTGCTTCCCAAGTACTGTATGCTGAACAAGCTAAATCTCTCTGAAAAATGCATGTGGTACCTGTCCTCTTTCAAGATGGTCAAGCTACAGACTTTGACTTTAAAAGATGAGGTCTTCCAAAAACAGTTACATATCAAATTTTAAAGCTGAGAAACTGCAAGTTACAATCAGCTTCTCAAAATGGCAACAATTTCATGACTTTTTCTTTTTGATATGGTCTTTTTATTTTACACACTTCCTCAAATTCTGTAAAGTTATCTGCTCTTTCAAAGAGCCAAAAGTAAAAAGAAATACTTCCGATACTTTTCTGTTTGTTGAGACAATCTCACTATGTATCCCTGACCGGTGTGGAACTCACTCTGTAGACCATGTTAGCCTTCAACTCACTGAGATTCACCTGCCTCTGCCTCCTGGGTGCTGGGATTAAAGGCAAATGCCACCATACCTGGCTCATTTAAACTATTCTAAGCCATTGATGGAATTGAATGGAAGTAAACTGTTCTATGCAAATTCCCTGTGAATTTGTTTCACAGAAACTTAATAAAAGTAACAGCAATATCATGGCACCTGCTTTCTTTCTTTTATTGAAGAGACCTTTATACTCCTGGTACTTTTATTCCTCCATCACTGCTGTTGGTCACTGAAACAGAATCCAACTTCTCCCACTTTGAAACAGAACCAATTTTATAGAATTTCTAAAGACACACCACAACTCAGTCAAACCAACATTGCCACTGTCTGGTTCAAGAACCTAACCAGGACACAACTTTCTCCTGGACACTAGAAAATAGAACCACGCCACACTCTCTGGTCACAATCTCCTTCCCTGGGCCTGTAAGGAAACAACTCTGTGGCCTTTCCCAAGACAAAGCCCTAACTCAGCACACAGCTTGCCCTCCCTCTTCTCCCTTCTCCTCCATCCTCTCCCTCCTCCTCCCTCTGCCCTTTCTCTGCTCCTCCAGTTAGAAGTCTGCCCTTTCATTAGAACACACCCATGCACTCTCCGTTCATATATACTTCTGCTCCCACAGTTCCTGGAGCTATGAAGGCCCAGCGCCTCTAAATTTAGATAATCTAAATTCTATTCGAAGTCCAGATCGAAAGTTAACTTTGCCATGAAATAAAGATTCCTTGATGCCCCTGGCAAATGTAACGCAACATTTATTTGTTGTACCATCAAGTATTTGTGCACACAGCATGTTTCAGGAAAATATAGGAGCTACAGACAAACTTCATATCCTCCCACTGTCTCCCTGCCATACCGACCCACCCACCTGATGCCCAAATGCACACAGTGGTAGCAAAGGAAATATCTGTTGAACAGAGAAACGAGTTTTTTGAGAGTTAAAAGTGGCTCTACAGAACGGACCATCCCAAAGATTGGAACGACCTTGGAAGCCCTCAGAATTGTTCTAGTATTGAGTAGAAATAATAGTTCCATCCAAAGCAAAGGCATAAATCAGGTGACTTCCTATGGATGATTCTAGAAACAAAATCATCTATTTAAAAGTACTGCCTAATAAATTCAAAACACAAAAATCTGTCAGCCAATGAAGTTTAACGATAGATTTTTTTTAATCAAAAACATTTTGGCTGTTCTTACAGCAACGATTACAACATTTCAGCTATGTTCAAGGACTGTAGGAAACATCTATGAATTTGCTATTTCACCTCTGACAGAAGGACAGGGACACATAGGCCTGCTGAAAGTAGTAAATGACAAATTAAGTTTGGAAGCTCAAGTACATAAATACACACATTTGTATGTGACTTGATTATTAGCATATCATCACTAAAAATATTCCTATTGAGCTTTCAGACATCAGAACACCGTTCCTGGCTTCTTCAAAGAAGGTAACAGACCAGTTTGCTATGTTTCCTCCTACACTAGGTGAACCGTCTAAAACTGGGTTACTTCAAGATTAAAACATTTTTATTCAAGTAAGGTCATAAAAATGACTGGACACCTGCAAAGATATATCTAGAGAGAAATACAGTTAACCACATTACTCTCCATCACTGAGCTAGCTTCGTCGTAAATAAAAACCTTCTGAACAAATTTCAGTAAACCTCAGCAACCAATTACTGAGACAGAAAACTTGATTCCATAGAACAATGCACACACAAAGGCAGGATTGTGTAAAAGGAAATTCAGAGCTTACATACGACGGCTATTGGGGGAAAATAAAATGTAAGAAAAACTGAAGAAACTAAATTTGAATAAACAACTGCTTTCAAACGCTTCCTCATTATTGCTACATTCTATGTATTTTTATGAGGCAACTCAGACCCTCTGGTTACGAAACTTAAGAGTGTAAATAAACTTTGCTTTGGGATGTAATCGAGCTTTAAAAACAAAAAGTGAAATTTTACCCTGCATATGGTTTTAAGGTTATAATGAAGTCACAACTTAAAATCTGCAAAAGTATTTTTAATCAATTTAATTCTTTTAAAATCGCAACCTCCTTCAAGGTTGTGGTAACGCTACAAAGTTTTCCTGGAGCCCTCTAGTAACTCTAAACACTATTTCTAAGTGGGCTGGCAGCGGGAGTTCGTTCTGGGAAGTGGCGGCGGGGAGCCGCGGGTTACAGCGCTCGGGGACACCTGGGCGACGCGGGCCTCTGCCACCGCCCGGGGGCAGCCGGTTCCCAGCCCCTGCGGGCGCCAGCGCGGTCCCCCGGCGCGGCAGGACAAGCTGGGTTACTCACCGAGCAGCGACACGAGCAGCCAGGACGCCGGAGCGGAGCGCCGCCGAGTCATGCCGGGGCCGCCGCGGGAGCCGCCGTCCGCCGGGCTCCTGGGCGGCGGGGTGCAGCGGGGACCGAGCGGGACACGGGAGCTCCGAGGCCACTTCGCTCCGCTGAGGCTCGGGGCAGGCTCGGGCGTCCCGGGCTCGCCCGCCGCCGCGGCCACCACCAGCCGCCGCAGCCACTCCCCCCAGCTCCCGCCAGCTCTTCCCCAGCCGGGGGCTCAGCACCGCCTGCCCACTCGCCCAGCGGTCTCCAGGGCAACCGCGACTCCAGCGCGACGCCTGGCGGCCACCCGCAGAATGCACCGAACCCATGGTTGGCGCGGCCCAACCACCTGCTTTGGTCCCCATGAACTCTGCAAGGACAGGTTGGACCTAAACCCAAAGTGGCTTCCCTCAGATCCAACTCGTCTTTCTGGACTGGATCTGGGCTCGTCTTTCCGTTTTAAAACAGTCCCTACTCTGGTCATTTTAGCCTCCCCTGAACCCATTTAATCGATCTGAAAGAACCTTAAGAGACTCCTAGGAGACACGTAGACTCTTAGGAGAGTTAGCCTCTCCAAGAAATGAGTCCCCTTATTGGTGGTTCATGCAGAGTCGTTAGTCCTGAAACCATATACAAACAAAAAACAAAAAACCGGACTGATCCAGTTATATCTCCATGGATGGATGGATGGATGGATGGATGGATGGATGGGCGGGCAGATAGATAAGCATTCACAGGCATATGTAACTAATAAAGAGGTTAAGAACTTTAGAGTGGGGAGGACATGGGAGGGGTTTTAAGAGACGGTATGGCTGGGAAGAAATGGAGAGAAGAGACCAAAGGAAAGGGGAAACTGATGTGATGCTATTTCAGTTAAAACCAGGATGATCTTAAATGCCCGAGCTTTCTGTCTAAGCCTCCCAAATCCTGGGATTACAGGCCTGCAACCATGCTTGTCATCTTCCAATGTTTGTAAGTGGTCCCTTACAAAGCTCACGTTTCCTTAGGATGCTTTTTAATACTGACTTGCCTTGACTGTGGCACCTGTACTTTAGATGGATGTTTTCACCACTTGCTTGTTTGTTGTGGTTACATTCAAGAGACCTTTATAACATTTGAAATTATTTTACTTATTTGAACTGCATTACTACTGCCCTTCCTTTCCCATTTTGGTTTGTTTCCTTCCACAGCCCAAAGTCATTTTCTGCTTCCACCCACACTGAGCCTTTGAAATTTGAGGACCTACCTGCCCAAGAACTTCTCAGCCATGCGGTCAGATTCTCAACAGCCTAGATTAGAACTCCTGTAGCCCTGCAGAATTCTGAGGACCCCACACCTCACAGAAGCAATTTTGCCAAGACAACTCAGAAGTAATAGTATGCTCAAAAGCAAGGCAAATGTAGAAAACAATTTTTTTAAAGAAATATATTTGCCCAAAGATTTAAGGCTATGTAGGAAAAACAAAAATCTCAAGAAAGTAGATTATAAAGCTATTTTAAATATTGAAATGTTATATTTTGAAGAAAAAAAGGAAAAGTTTAAAGATGCCAATCACTGGGACCATGAGAAGTGGCTCAGAGGTTAAGAGCACTTGCTCTTGCAGAGGATCCAGTGCCCTCTTCTGATCTCCGAAGGAACCAAGTTTGCTGTGGTGTGTATACAAGTGCTGATCCAGCATGGCCTTGGTGGGGACAGAATGACAAGGTCCCTGCCCCTGGAACAGGGCAGCGGGCATGGGCCTCCATGAATGTTGATATCTGCTGTAGGCATAGGGCTTGTTTGTATAATAATGTACATATTTTATGTTCCTCCTTTAAGGAATGTCCTCCCTGTTAACATTAGTGGTTCCATGTTAATCAGACAGCCCAAGTGCGGGAGGCAAAGGTATACGTAATGTCTCAGCAAAATGGTAAACACTGGGATCTTCAGGACATCCCTTAATGCTGTGAGAAAGGACTCTAAAATCATGGGTTATGAAGTATATAATTTCTCAACTATGCAAAAATACAACAATGCAATATGAATTGTATAATGGGCTTCACAGATCTAAAGGAACAGAGGCAGCTACTGAATGAGCCAGTTTGTCAGAAAGATACAAAGACAGGCAGATACAAATGCAAGCAGATTCCTGAGTTCAGGGTCAGGGACAAAGCAAATTTAGGTCCAAGTGTACTAGAAATGATAACTTCAGGACAGGGTCCCACCCAGCTAGCTTATCAGTCTGCACTGAACAGAGGCAGGCAGATCTCTGAATTCTTTTGCAATATTAAAAGAAAATGTGTGCTTGTTGTCTCCTAAGAATTAAGGGGCTGGGGTTATAGGATGCTGAGTCATAGGATAATCAAAAGGGAACCTGGAGTCAATCAATGACTGGATTGATATGTAAGATAAAAAAAAGTCTGGGTTTATGATCTACAGGAGATGAGCTATCCAGAAAAAGATTTTAGAATACTAAGACAGCACTGCTTGGAGAACTATCTCAAGCAGAATGTAGATAGAGAGAGAGCTGTCTAGAGATCTCCAGAGAAAGCAGATCAGAGAGAAAGAATGCAGAACAGAAGAATGCAGGCTGGAAAGCTGTCTCCAGCAGAACATAGGTCACCAGCCTGGACCCACAGTTTGACTTCCAGTCATTTGTTTTCATCACTCCCAGACACCCCTTCCTTAGAACATATATCCAAGCCGAGGGCTGGTTCTTAGCATACAAGCATAAGGCAAAACACTCATTGGCATAAAGATTTTTTTCAAATAATGCCAATCATTTTAACAGGAGTCTTATGAAAAAAAATCTGTTCTCATGAGTTGGTCTCCCTCCACCCACCCCCCTCATATAATCTGACCCTGTCTTCAACAAGGCACAGAAACAATATAGGTAGGAAAGAAAAGAAGTCATGAAGTGATCAGTACAACTCGGGAACATTCACTTTGCCTGGCCATAACCTCGAATTTAAATGACAAATAATGTTTTTTTTTTCAGTTAAATGGATAATCTAGTTGCCTATGCTTAAAAGTCCTGATAAAGCAAGACGCTGGCTACACTCGTTACACAAATGCAGCAAATATTAACTAAGCAGAAGTGCTGTGTCAAGGCACTGGGCTGAAGGTTAAATAAAATCCATGTGGAGTAATCCCTGACCCCAGACAAATGTCACTTGTACCTGGACTGTATCTATGCCTCTTTGTCACCACAGCGAGTTACTGCCCACAGGCAGGAGTCAGTGAGTCACTAGGACACACACTAGGACACTAGCAGTTTGGTGGAGGAGCCCTTGTAAAAGAAAAAGCTGTGTGGCTTCAGAATGAGGATGGGAGACAATCAGTGTCTGGGAGACACAGAAGCACAGGGGTCAGCTGGTGATAGTGGACTCAAGGAACAGGAAGGAGAATTAGGAGCTCACAAGCTGGACCCAAAGGCTCTTAGCTCCAGAAACAGGCAATGTGTGATCTTTAATTCACAGAAACACCAGCACCGTCATGGGCTCTGGATACATTTTTACAGAGGATAAATTTTGCTATGCTCTTTTATCCTAATCTGCCTATAACCACAGTAGGATTTCTTTAAATCCCTTAAGTATTCCGAGTGAGAAAGCAACATACACCATCAGACATTTGTACAGTGCTTTATGTTTCAAAGTGATTCTGCATATGCTATCTGGTGTGATCATCACAGCAACACCAGGGGGTAGGGAAGGTGCTTATTACAACCCCTCCTTCATACAGGAGGACCCCCGGTCTCAAGGGAATCAAAGATGCTTCAGGGACTGCAAACACCAGGTGGGACGAGAATCAAGACTTCTAACATGTTCCCAATAGCTGTACCAAATACATTAGGAGATCATTTAAAGACATCATGGCATCTTAAAGCTAGTCTGAAGATGTTGTCTCCCCAGTATTTAATCCCTCTCCATCACACCACAATCTCCAGTACCACCCACCTCCTATTGTCTGACAAAACTTTCCCTGAGGAGATAAAACACATTCTTGTGCTATTCTCTCCAGATTGGGAACACACAACAGAGCAAAGTTCAGATGCCACCAAAGTCCAATTTTGTGAACCAATGTGTTTTATTGGGTTACTTACAGGAATATAGGTGAGGGATTGTGTACAGAAATAACTTAATAACAGCTGTATCACCTAAGTCTACCCCATCAACGGTGACTACAACTCACAAAGCTGAGAGCCCTGGGGCACACTGCACAGCTCAACAGGTTGGAGAGTGTACTTTCCACAGGCCTCAATTTGCCTACCTCTCTTCCAGGCAGCTCTTCTTGGCAGCTGGGCTCTGTTTACCCTGGAGGGAGGGGCCCAGTGCATCTGGTGAGTTTCACAGAGTTCTTGAGCCTGTTTTTCAGTTGTTTACTCCCTACTTAGGGAGTCCCCCTGCCAGAGGAGAGAATGTTTTAATCCTGGAGGAGACTGTTACAGAACACCCACACTTTAGTAGCAAGCAGTACTAGCTGGATGGGGCTGTGCTAGGGCAATTGTAGCCGGCCTAAGAAAGACACACAGATGAGATGGGCTGAGGAAAGGGGCCCCAACCAAAGACTCGACTGCGGTTATAATAACAGCCTTCGTGACTCAAAACATAGAAGGCATGAGAATGGATTCAATCTCTACTTATCCAAGTTTAAATTTAACACTAGACAAACTTTTCAATCCATCAAAATGCAGGGCCATCTCTTTCCAGGATCAGTTCATTTGTATTCAAGAATGGAAAATTAATTTTATTTATTGGCATAGGAGAAATATAATTAAGAATGAAAAAAGATAGAATTTTAAAGCTTTCTAAAGCTATATATAAACTACTTTGAATTAGATATTTTAAAGTATCAACACCACAGATCCATTAATGTGCATAAATTAAATATTAATTGTATTTAAATTTGGAGGGTTTATATTTATGGACTGTTCTGTACAGCTGTTATTTTAAGGCTAGTAAAGAGCTGTTTGGGCCACTTTTTCTGTAATTATTTTGACCAGCTGCTTAGAGCCAGATGTTGTCTACAGCCAGGGTTGGTCCTTTTAAAGATAA